ATCAAAAATGTTATAAACTCAACAATATCTTGTTATAGTTATTACTTTATGCAATTTTAAGACTTTATAGGAGCTGGGAGAAGAAAGGAAAACAAGTATATGTTATAGCTTTTGTTATATTAACATTATTTATCATTTCTGATTTTCTTCATTTTTCCTGTGGATTCAAGTTACTAACTGGAGTCATTTCTTTAGCCCAGTACAGCTTTCTCCTACCCACTTCATTTGTGCTGTTATTGGCAAATAGAATACATTTCTATATGTTATTTGCCCAACAATATACTGCATACATACTGTTTTATATAATTGCTCTTAAAATCTTTTAAGACAAGAAACAGAAATTTGTATTTGTACTATCTTTCATAATTAAATAATTACCCTTACTTGTGCCCTTTGTTTTTCCATGTAGATTCAGGTACTGTTTGGGATCACTTGCTTTCAGACTAAGGAACTTCCCTTAGTGTTTCGTGTTAGGCAAGTCTGCTACCAATGAATTCTCATCAGTTTTTGTTTACCAGAAATGTTATTTCATATTCATTTTCGAAAGATAGCATTTCTGGATATAAGATTCTTGGTTGACAGTTTTTATTTTTCTTTGAATACTTTGAATATATTATCCCACTGTCTTCTGGCCTCTGTTGTTTCTGATGAGAACTCAGCTTTTAATCTTGCTAGGATTCCCTTGTAAGTGGCAAGTCATTTTTCATTTGCTGTCTTTCAAGGTTTTTTCTTCTTATTTGGCTTTTAGGATTTTTACTCTGATATGTCTGTTTGTAGATCTCTTTGTAGTTATTGTACATGGAATTTATTGAGCTTCCTAGATGTATATATTGATATTTTAAAATACATTTAGGGAGTTTGGGGCCATTATTTCTTCAAATAATTTTTCGGCTCCTTTCTCTCACTCCTCTCCTTCTGGTTCTCTCATTATATATCTGTTGGTGCACTTAATGGTGCCCCACTTTTCTCTGAGACTCCATTCATGTTTCTTCATTCTATTCTGCCTCTGTTCTTTTCATAGCATAACCTCTATTGATCTGTCTTCGAGTTCAGCAATTCTTCTGACAGTTCAGATGTACTCTTGAGCCACTGTAGTGAATTTTTCACTTCAGTCATTGTACTTTTCAACTCCAGAATTACCACTTGATTCTGTTGTCAAACCCAAGTTTTTGTGCCTGGCACACAGTGAGGCCAAACAAACAGAAATGTTGGAGTTTGGAGCAAGGAAAGGTTTATTGCAGGGCCAAGCAAGGAGAACAGATGGCTCATACCTAAAAGACCTGAACTCCCTGATGGGTTTCAGGGAAGAGTTTTTAAAGGCAATATTTGGAGTGAGGGCTGCAGGGTGCATGACTTTCTTCTGATTGGTTGGTAGTGAGGTAGCAGAGTGATGTTTCAGAAATCTCAGCCATCAAGTTTCTGACCAGTCTGGGGTCTCAGAAGGTAGTTACCATCCTCTACCTGGGTGGGGAACCTTAGCTCCTGCAGAACAACTCAAAGATATGTATCAGATTATTTTATACACACACACACACACACACACACACACACACACGTATATCTCCCTCCCTTGAAGAGGAACTAGGACTCTGTTTACTGAACTGTTGTTTCTTGACTGCTTTTCCTTTGTTTCTGCATTCCCTCACTTCCCTAATTAGTAACTGCTTGAATTTGCTCTTTGGAAGTCAGGGAAGGCCTAGGAGACTAAAGCCTTTTTCTACAAACAGGAAATGGAGGACACAGAGAGTCCTGCTTGGTTTCAATCCCCCCTTTGCATTGATACTCCTCAGTCCTGAGGGGAACAAGTGCCAGACAAGAAAGGGAATAAAATTTTGGATAGAGGGGTTAATCATAAACTCAGCAGAGGAACTCAGTTTTAGGGGGACTCGATTTCAATTATTTTTTTAATAATTTCTATTTATCAATAATTTTTAAATTTAATTATTTATTTATCTTTGGGCTGCGTTGGGTCTTCATTGCTGCGCATGGGCTTTCTCTAGTTGTAGCGAGCAGGGCCTACTCTTTGTTGCGGTGTGCAGGCTTCTCATTGCACTGGCTTCTCTTGTTGTGGAGCACGGGCTCTAGGCGCGCAGGCTTCAGTAGTTGTGGCACGCAGGCTCAGTAGTTGTGGCCCACGGGCTCTAGAGCACAGGCTCAGTAGTTGTGGCGCACGGGCTTAGTTGCTCCACAGCATGTGGGATCTTCCTGGTCCAGGGCTTGAACCCATGTCCCCTGCATTAGCAGGTGGATTCTTAACCACTGCGCCACCAGGGAAGTCCCTATTTATCAATGTTCTCTATCTGATGTGATGTAATGCCATCATAATTTACTGTACTTCTTTAATCATGGTTTCCTTTAGTCCTTGAAACATATTCATAATGGCTACTTTGAAGTCTGTTAAGTTAGGTATCTAGTCAATTTCATAGGCAGATTCTGTTGCCTGCTCTTTTTTTTTTTTTTCCAGTGTAGGGGTCATACTTTCCTGTTCACATACGTGTCTTGTTTTTTGTTGGAAACTGGGCATTTTAGATTACATACTGTAGCAACTGTGTGTCCTTCTTCCCACTCTCCAGAGTTTATTTATTTGTTTGGTGAGTGGCTGGATTATTTTAGTGAACTCTAGTTCACCCTGCAATATTAAGCATTTGATATTGCCCTCATGGAGCACAGCCTTGGGTGTGCGCATAGTCACCCTGGAATGGCAGTAGTTTTCGCAGGGCTTTCTTTGGCTGTCTCTTGCCCTGACCAGCCCCAGCTATTAATTGCCAGCTAATTGCTCTATTGCGTTCAACAATGCCCTGGAGCATAAATTGCTCTGTAGACTAATTCAGTCAAATTCAGACACCTTAGATGGGCTAGTTCCTGAGGTCAGTTTTTGAGATTTGTTCTGATCCCAGGAGGGCTCCTCCCAGCTGTCTCTTTCCCCAGTTCTCTTCTGCAAACTAGTCAGCCTACAGTTTAGTGTGTATATGCAATAAATCTATCACTCTTTCCAATTGCCTTTCATTACAGCCTCCACTCTTTTTGAGAGTATCCTTAGGCTTGAACGTCTCCTCTGTCTCTTGGAAATGAAGTCAGTTTCTTTGAGAAGACTTTAGGAGCTACCTCTTTTAAGGCCTGCTTGTCCTCCCAGGCCAAATCTCTGAGGCATTGCTCTGGAGCTGGAGGTGGGGACAGTAATGTGCTTATCTCTGAGTCACATTGCCACTTTAGGAGCTGAGCACTAAGTCTGAGCCTCAGGTCTCCTTGACTTGCCTCTCCAGGCAAGAAACCACTGCCTTACAATCACAGTTGCCTTACAAAACCACAACTTCCTTGCAAGGGCAATCAGGGCCCTAGTATTCTCAGCAATACTACGCCCAAGGTAGGTAGATCCTCTATCCCACCAGTGGAGACTGGGTAGATGAAAGGAGCCCTCACCTCTCAGCCACAGTGGCCTGGAATTTAGACTCAACAGTAGATAGCTAAGGGCAGCGTGACAAATGCTGGGGTCCTGCCCCTCCCAGGAAGATATCCCTCTGAATTGGAGCTGGGGGAATGAGTGCCCCAGGCTCTTGGCTATGCCAGTCTGTAGTGGAGCTGGGAGAGGGACTAAAGAGAACAGTTTTGGTTTAAATACGTAAGACTCTTGCTGTTCTCTGTAAATTTTAGCAGATTTTTAAAAATATTGGGCTGGCCAAGAAGTTTGTTCAGGTTCTTCTGTAACATCTTATGGAAAAGCCCGAACGAACTTTTTGGCCAACCCAATAGATGTTTCCTAATTTTCTAGACTGAACGTTTCTTTGTTGTTTTTAGTAATTTTCACCAGTTTCACTAGGAAATAGGTCTGCAAAGCTTCTCATGGTATCGTGTTGGAAGTCTGTCTCCCTCCCTGCATTTAGATTATAAATTAGTGTTTCACACCTAGGCCTTGGCTACTCTCTCTGCTTATTTCAAGTTTCAGTTTGCTCCTACTTTTATGTAATTGCAGCTTTCCTTTGATCTATGACCTCCATTTTTATTTGACCTCGGTCTCATTACCCTCTCATCCTATTCTTAGCTTTGAAACCCAAACAAAAACAATATAGTGAATTTAAACAGAATTTTATTTGCAACGCATTTTTGTTTCTTAATCTTAAAAGGTCCTTTTTTCCATGAAAAGATAAAATAAGGTATTTTAGTCCACTTCCTCTGTTTTGATATGTTTTAAATTTTAAAGTTTCATCAAATTAACTTGCTGATATTATTTTAATGATGCTAATATTTAAACATCATGCTGCATTTTGATCTCAGATGAGCCACTTCCAACCCAAACTTGATGGCGGACCGGTTAACTTGGCCAGAGCAGAGGAAGGCGAGGAAGGGGCGTGGAGAGAGGATGGGAGTCAGAGTGGCTCTCCTCAGTGAGGAGAGGGTGGTAGGACACAGCAGAGCACTGAATGTAGAAACTTCTCTGGTTGTCCTTAGCTTGACAGTGAGAAACACCCTTTGTTGGTTACTTGGGTTAACTTCAAGAGGATCCACTTCTAGTCTTCAGCTGAAACAAGCATAAAGACTGCTTTTCTGGTTGCTAACCCAGTCCGTTTCCATTATAATTTGAAAATCTCAACTGAAATTATTCCAGTAAGCAGTTGTATAACTTCTGGCTTTACCTCTCTCTCTTTACGTAGTACTCAACATCAGCATTTCTCAGTTTTAATGTGCCAAAACTTTATGAAGATTTACTTCATAGTTTGGCTCTAACCTAAATAAATCTATTATCAAAATAGATACAGTAGCAGTTTATTGTATTGATTTCTGCACAGAATTGATTTACTCCCTTTCCATAGGTTAGAAGAGAATAGCCTTGTTTTGTTCTTGTCTTAAAGAAAAATAAGACTCTTGCAAGAGATTCCAGATGACATAATAGTAGTTGAGGAGGACGTAGATATTAAGGGCCATATGTCCAAGATATCAGCCTGAACTCTGGAAAAATCTTTGATGACCTAAACTATTATGCTTCTCATCTTTCTTCTGGCCAGGATATCCAATACCAAAACTCGACGTGAGCTTTCCATTGGAGCATAGAGAAGAGGCATGGGTGAAGGAACTACAAGATTCCAAAGAAATTAAGCAATTACTCGATTCCAAGTTAGGTAAGTAATCATTCATTGATAACACAGAAGAAAGAAAAGAAAAAAATCAACTTTGAGCAAGGTAAAGAGTTTTGGATTCTATTGTACTTAAGAATGTCTCTATTTCTACCAGTGCTTTAATATAACTCTTCATTTTCCTTCGTGTTCTTTTCAATGTGGGACACCGTGACATCTGCATTCTGTTTCTTCTCTCAGGTTTTGAGATCGGGATAGAAAATGAAGAAGCTACTTCAGAAAAACAGAAAAAAATGGAGAATATGTATCCATTTATTGTTACTTTAGAGGGGAATGCTCTTCATGGCCCCATTTTGCAAAAAGACTATGTACAGTTAGAAAATCAATGGGAAACCCCCCCAGAGGATTTACAGAGAGATTTAACAAAACTTGTAGAGCATCAGAACCCCTCAGCAGGAGAGAAACCTGAGAGCTCCAACTTGGAAGAACCCCTCAACCCTAGACCTCATAAGAAAAAGAGTCCAGGAGACAAACCTCACCGATGTTCTCAGTGTGGGAAATGTTTTGCTCGGAAGTCACAGCTTACAGGGCACCAGAGAATTCATTCAGGAGAGGAACCTCATAAGTGCCCTGAATGTGGAAAAAGATTCCTTCGTAGTTCAGACCTTTACAGACACCAACGACTTCATACGGGGGAGAGACCCTATGAATGCACGGTGTGTAAAAAGCGATTCACTCGGCGGTCACACCTTATAGGGCACCAGAGAACCCATTCAGAAGAAGAAACATATAAATGCCTTGAGTGTGGGAAAAGCTTTTGTCATGGATCAAGTCTTAAAAGACATCTGAAAACTCATTCAGGTGAGAAACCTCATAGATGTCATAATTGTGGGAAAAGTTTTAGTAGGCTGACAGCTCTTACTTTGCACCAGAGAACTCACACTGAAGAGAGACCATTTAAATGTAATTACTGTGGGAAAAGCTTTAGACAGAGACCAAGCCTTGTTATTCATTTAAGAATTCATACAGGGGAGAAGCCATACAAGTGTAGTCATTGTTCTAAAAGCTTCAGACAGAGAGCAGGCCTTATTATGCACCAAGTCACTCACTTTAGAGGTCTTCTTTAAGGATTGTTAAAGGAAACAAGTCCTACAGAGATTGACAGTAACTCAAAAAACAAAATCTTAAACCTGCAGCATCCTGTTTGTCTTGGAAGAATTTTTTTTGCTTGAACTTATAAGAACAGCTTTTTTTTTCTACTTTCAAAACCCATCTTCCAAGTCATATGAATTCTAGAGTATCTATCTACTCTTGCAGTTTTTCTAGATTTGATTTATTCTGTCTCTACAACTCTTATTTTTTTATTACATTGAAAAATTTTGTGAACCAAGCCAACCGTATCATAGATGTAAGCATAAAACTAATGGCAACGTAATGGATAATCATATTTATCTGACATATCTATTATAGCAACACTATAATTATTCTGCTGTCATTATTAAAGGTGATTATATTAGTTTAAAGCTTTATATGTGTCCCAAGTGGCAAGAAAGGCGACAGTGTATTTTATGAAATAATGAAAATGTGTTAGGAACACATGGATGAAGACGATTTCATTTGCCTGGTATGAACTGGGTTCTTTCCATTGAAAATTTTATTTTTGAGGAAATTAGAATTTTAATCTTTACTTTTGAATTTTGCAAAGGTGGCTAGTCTGCTTAGTTGCAGCCTAGGGTGATGCCGCTTAGAGCTGAGTATTGAATTGATGATTTATTTTGTTCCCAGAATAAGTCAGCTCTTTGTGGAAGAACCCATTTGACAGTTGAAGCTATACAAGTGGAATCTAATTTAATTTAGATTGACTGAGGAACCAGTGTCCATTGCTTTTCACTCTCCTTTGCTATCCAGCTATGTATCTCTCAGTGCTTTTAAATTTTACCCATCCTTTAATTCAGTGTCTCCCTAAGTGTGTGTCATAGAACACCTAGTTATACAAGATAGTCTGCAAGTAAGTTTGGGAATCACTTCCTGCTGTTTCTGCTTTGTAGATTCACAGCGCACATCAGCATGTAAGAATTCTGAGAGGTCCTCTGGTAAAGGTGGAAAAAGCACCTCTTTTGGCTCAGTGTTTTACAATCCTGTTTGAGCCCAGAACCCTTTTTCGTGTATACCCAGTAATGACCCACAGAGCTAGTATTCTGAAAATATGCTTTGGAACACACTGCCTTTAACAGATATTTCTATAGCTATCTGTATAGTCTGATTGTTCCCAAGCCTAGTTATCTCCAGTTGTCTCAAGGGTGTTATGAAAAACTCTTTAAACTTATATGTTTTTTATGTAATACACACACACATTATTTAAGGAGGTGAAGGTCACTAATTCAGATATTTATACGTTGCTCAGTGATTCACAGCCTCTTTGAATTTTACTTATAATCTCACACACACACATTGCTACTTATATAAATGTTCTCATATAATAGTGGTAATGACTCAAGTTCCTGTAGCAAGGGAAGAACTTTCTTTGTCAGTTAAAGCTGTTAATACATGAAAATATTCATTCAGCCTAGTTCCTTGTAAAATACAAGAAATAGGACATTCAAGTATTTCCCCTTTATGAGGATACCAGTCATCCTTTCCTTAAACTAGAATTACGGAAAGTATATTTTTTTCTATTCCATTGAAGTTCTTGGAAGTGATATTTAATATAAGCATTTTGGGGGTATCTACTATGTGCCTAACTAGTCCTGTTCTAGGCTTAATGAAAACTAGTAAAGAAATTAATTCATAAAGAGTTTATAATATCTTTAGTTAAACAAGAGTTGGGAAACAAATGGAGAGCAGTGCAAGAGAGTTTGTAGTTAAGTGCCAAATCATATCAAGTGCTAGAGCCAGGATGTGTCTTTCATTTTTGTCATCTAGGTCCCAGTATGATGCTGCTATAAGTTTGGGGTTAAAATTGAGATCCCAGTAGCAATAAACATGGAACATGGGAGGAGTCTGAATGTAGAGGTGAATAATACCGAATGTAATGGCTTCTCTTTTCTCTCTTGTGGAATTGCATTCAAACCAGGACAGTGCCTTAGAATGGATGTGCCCAACTGCTCTGTATCTATGCAATATTTTAATAAAGTGGAAATGTATGTGCCCTTCCTGCTTCAATCACATTAACTAATTGTTTGAACAACTTAGAGATGCTTCCCTGAGCAGTGGCAACAAGCACCACGATGGACTCCTGCCCCCAACCTCAGTTGGAATCACTTTACTCCCTGCAACCATGGTGCTGGGTTTATGTATCAGTTTTAGCACTTAATACAATCAATTTAGCTAGTAGTGTTAGTTGCAATCATAATATGAGCTGTATCATCGAGATCATAAACACACATGACTGGATTTTACAGGGTAGAGAACATCTATTATTCATTTCTTTGTCATAGTGTCTTGTATATAATAAGCACTAATAAATATTTGTGGCATTGAATCAAGAATTATGTGAAATAGTCCTTGGAAACATATCATAGTTAAAACATTGTGTGGATGTGCCTAATTATACTTCTGAGCATTTCAAAAAGATAAGGGCAAAATACAGTACGTACCTCCTAAGTATTACGAATAGCAAAGCGCAGTACCCACCTCATAAGTACTATGAAGATTAAATGAAATATATTTTTTTCAGGCCTTACACAGTGTACACTTTCAATAAATATCCAGCATATCATATCTTAAGTATTTGTTGTTTAATGATAAAAGCATTTAAGGCTATGGATTTTCCTCTAAATATGTCTTTAGTCACATTCCCTACTTTTTATATATAATGCTTCTATTAGCCAGGATTCTCCAGAGAGACAGGTAGGATGGGTAGATGGATATATATATATACACACACATACATATACATATGTGTGTGTATTTATATATATACACATATACATATGTGTATGTATTTATATATATATAAAAAATTCGATTTATTATAGAACTCCACTCATAGTTATGAAGATTGATACATCCCATAATCTGCCGTCTGCAAGCTGGGGGACCAGGAAAGCTGGTGGTGTAATTCAGTCCAGGTCCGAAGATGTAAAAACCAGGGGAGCCAATGGTTTAACTCCCAGTCCAAGGCCAAAAGCCTGAGAATGGGGGATGGGGGGAGAACTGCAGCTGTAGGTCCCTGAGTCTAAAAGCCAGAGATAGATAACTAATGAGAACCTACTGTATAGCACAGGGAACTCTACTCAGTGCTCTGTGGTGACCTAAATGGGAAGGAAATCCAAAAAAGAGGGGATATATGTATACGTATAACTAATTCACTTTGCTGTACAGCAGAAACTAACAACATTGTAAAGCAACTATACTCCAATAAAAATTAAAAAAATAAATAAAAGCCAGAGAACCAGGAGCTCCAATGTTCAAGGGCAGGAAAAGATGGACATCCCAGCTGAAGAAGAGAGCGAGGGAATTCGCCCTTCCTCTGCCTTTTTGTTCTATTCAGGCTCTCAACAGATTGGGTGATGCCTACCCACATCGGTGAGGGCGGAACTCTTTACTCAGTCACGGAATGAATGCACATCTCTTCTGAAAACACTCTCACAGACATGCCCAGAAATAATGTTTTACCAGCTATCTGGGAATCCTTTAGCCCAGTCAAGTTGGCACATAAAATTAACCGTCACAATGTTATTATTGATGACTTCAAAATTATTTATTATCACAGTTTTTATTATAATTCCTCTTTGACCCAAGAACTGTACAATATTGCCATTTTCCTCTTAATTTTTGGCTCTCCTGCCCTGTGATCAGAAAATGAGGTTCACTGTATTTCTACATTTAAAGTTCATTTAGGTTTTTTAAAAAGACACATATTTGGGGCTTCCCTGGTGGCGCAGTGGTTGAGAGTCCGCCTGCCGATGCAGGGGACACGGGTTCGTGCCCCGGTCCAGGAAGATCCCACGTGCCGCGGAGCGGCTGGGCCCGTGAGCCATGGCCACTGAGCCTGCGCGTCCGGAGCCTGTGCTGCGCAACGGGAGAGGCCACAACAGTGAGAGGCCCGTGTACCGCATAAAAAAAAAAAAAAATTTAAAAAGACACATATTTGACAAAATTTGCGAAGTATCCTAAAAACTCTAGAGAATCAGGATTCTATTTGTAAGGCACAAATTTAGAATACAGTCTTGGACCTCTAAATTACTTTAATGCCTTTGGCAATGCCCTTGGTGTGTGTGAAGAGGCAGTAACTTAGAAGAGATTGCCTTGCTCCCCGTTCGGCCCCCCTGCAATTTTGTACTCCCCATTCCCTTGGTAAGAGTTTTATTGGGTCCATTTTATGGATGTTATATGGCGATTCTTAACAGCTGTCCAGGTATCAAGGCTGGCCCTAAAAGCAGGAGGCTAAAAGACCTCGGAGAGACTTACCCTTTCCCAGCCAGGCTGAGAAAGCTCTCCCTTGGGATTCCACAGTGGTCTGTCCTGAAAGCAGCGAGAACCTGCGATGGGCATTTTGAGGTTTTTGCAACAGTGTCCCTCCTGAATCAGCAGGGATTGTTTCCCAGTGTGCTGGCGAGGTTGTCTAGGGAACATACAGGTGAATCAGTGCCCAACTGGCTCACCATCAGGTCGGGGAACAGAGACATGAAGCTTTGCCCTCTTGCACCTGCATCACCATAACATTCTGACAAGAAACAGTCTTAGGCACTTCCAGGAAACTGCATGCTCTTTCTTTCTGCAACCCTCTCTCATTTCTAGCCCAGTGTATAAACTGAATATTCTTAAAACGAACCAAAGCTTACACTTAAGCCTTGGGCAGCTCCTGCTTCTTTTTGAGTCCTCTGTAACAGATATGGAACAGATGAGAAGACAGCTCATCTCTTAGTCTTTCTTCAGCATTAATAATCAGCTTAGTCCCCCATTTCTGGAAATTCAACTACTGGGATTGGGGGCGGGGGATTAAGTTCTCTCCTCACCAAAGTGATGTGTAAGTCACTATCTAGTCTTTTTCAGCTTGCATTGTCAAACAGGACTTCTCAGAGGTCTAGCATGGCCTAAGTTCACATTTTTTAAGGATCAGAAGGTATTAAAATGTCATCTTTCCTCTGAGCGAGTGAAGCCCATCACAATCTCCAACATGATA